TCCAAGCCATTTTGGGTCGGTTGCACTTTAAGACGTGCGATCATCGACTTCAAAGCATTGCCAGTTCAGAAGACAGACATTTTTTTTTTGATAAAATTCGGAATTATTCATAAATTCGCCACGTCTTCAATATCTAACACTCTTGAGAATCTTCCCAGAACTCTTGGATTCATGTATCTAAAGCTCCAGAAGCATGAAGAATAAAAAAACGAGAAAAAAATATGCATAAATCATCTGTCTGGCGGCGATCCCGATAATATGTTTGTGCGACTGGGCGGCGCTTTTTTTCCTCCCTTTCTTGAAAACATCTGCTTCTTATGAATATTTGAAAAAGAATGTATATATACATATAGCAAAGCTTCTAGAATTTCTCGATTTTTTTTTGAAAACAACCAACGAGCCATAGAAAAGAACAGAAGAAGCGTCTTTTTTTGCAGAATTAATGAGGGTGCGCTTTTGAAAGAGTAACGGAAAACACGAGATCCGCCCACAAAGTACGGCCAATTCTTCGTTGTTTTTTTTTGGAGTTGGGAACGGATTTTTGGGGTTTTTTGAAAGGTTCAAGGCGGGTTTCGAAACAGGGGGATTGGAATTGACAAGCTAGAGGTTTTAAAATGTATAGAAACTCTTAATCTAGTTCTAAGGGTTTCTTGAACTTTTCTTTTTGGATTCCTCAAAACCATACATGGGATAGTCTTGGTTTGGTGGAAAAGGGGTGAGACTTGGCAAGAAAAAAAGAAAATGAGGGGGCTTGGCTGTCGCCAGTCATGCTTATCCCATGTATGAACTTCAAGCTTCGAGCTTAATAGAACCTAGGAAATATTTCAAGGTGGGTTTTGAAACAAGTATTGAAATTGACGAACTGGAGATTTGAAAATGTATAGGAGCTTTTAATCCAGCTCAAAGGGTTTCTTAAACTTTTTTTGAATTTATCAAAACTTTGAACTTCATAGAACCTAAAAAAATAGTAAGGTCCTGAACTATGAAAAAGCCCTCAGAATATTTTTTTAAACAGTTAGAAACTGAAAATAGAAGGCTTCAAGCTCAAAAAGGCATCTTGTTCTCTTGAATACGACTCGATTAAAAAAACGTCTAAGCTTGATATACTAGAACCAAAAAAAGTGAAAAAAATTTGAAAGCTTGAATTTTTTTCGATAAGGAACTTCAAAGAGAAATTTGAGTTCTGAGCTTGTTTCACTGAGCTCAAAAATTCCTCAAACTAATTTCGAAACCTGGAGCTTTCTAAAAGTTATAAAATAGGAAGGTTCAGAAGCTGGAACTACAAAAACTCCTCAGAAGTTTTTTTTATAAAGTTAGACGCTAAAAATATATGGCTAAGAGCTCAAAAAGGCATCTTGTTCTTTAGAAAACGGCTCGAAAAAAAAAATTCAATAGCCCTTTTCTCAACTGCCCTTCTAACAAGGTAGGTCATTTTATTTTGCAATTTTCTTGAAAACTTGTCAGTACATCCCGATCGAGGTTCTGAAAGTTTCAGCCTGCACAACTTCCTAGTTTTCAAGAAATAAGGACTCAAAGTTTCAAAAATGGGTTTTTTGACGAATTTTGGAGGTTGAGGTTTCCTTTTTGAAAGTTGTGCAGGTTGAGACTTTCAGAATTCATTTTCGGGACTTTTGACCATTTTTCCGGAAAATCCCAACCACAAAGTAAAATAACCTTCCTTGTAAGCCTAGAACCATTAAAATTTAAAAAAAAAAACCTTCAAAGTGAACAAAGGATCTAAGCTCTATAAGATCTGAGCTTAAAACTATCTTTAGAAAAAATTTCAAAGGTGTCGCTTCCCATTGAAGCTGGCTACAATCAAAAGCCGGGACTTTAAAAGCTCAAAACGGCTTAATTGACTTTCCCGCCTTGAATAATTAACTCCGCTTCATGGATGAGGCTACACATATACGCAATGAACCTAACTAGAAACTTCTGACCATAATTCGAAGGTTCTGACAAAGAACAAAGACTTACGTAGGCGAGGAGAATTTTTGGCATTTTCGGGCAATTTTTTCAGATGGCACTCCCGTGACCTTTATTCGAATTTATTGCTAAGTCTAGCTCATTTTTACCGACTTTGAAAAGGGCGATTACTGTAGCGGCTTTTATATAGAATTTTCATTTTTTTTTAATTGTACGATCAGATCGAAAATCGTGCCCCATAGATCATCGAAGTTTAAAAAAAGTCTAAAAACAAAAAAAAAAAGTGATTTTTGGGTTCTTCAAAGGTAAAATTTTGAAAAGTTCCTAATACATTCTAGAGTTCGTGACCAACAAAAAGAACTTTTTTTTTGGAAGACATGTCCTCGAAAAGATTGTGTAGCTCCGCGGGTGGCGGCTTTTCAAATAAATCCAAAAATCAAAGTTCTCGCCATTTTTGGGGTCCATGATACAGTTTCTACTAAGTGGCGTAACTTTTTTTTTTCAGAAATTATGCATTTTTGAAATAAAAGGCCGTAATTTGGAGCATCGGACCAAAAATTGCACGCGATCCATTTGAAAAGGTCTAGAAAAGCTACAGAAGACCTACTACTAACCGCAACGCGACCGCGACGCTTCAAGCCGTTCCAAATGCAAAAAACACTCATTTTTCTAGAAAAAATTCTGCAAAAGTGTACAAAAGAAGGGCAGCTGGTGCAGTAGCTTTTTTTTTACATTTTCGAAAAAAGGCCGTCATTTGGAGCATCGGACCACAAACTGCATGCAATCCTTTTAAAAAGACGCTACGGAAGGCCTACTACTAACCGCAACGCGACCGCGACGCTTAAAGCCATTCAAAATGCGACAAAAAACTCATTTTTCTAGAAAAAATTCTGCAAAAGGGTACGAAAAAGGGCAGCTGGTGCAGTAGCTTTTTTACAACTGCATTTTTCTTAAAAAAGGCCGTCATTTGGAGCATCGGACCAGAAAATTACTACCGACCGCGACGCTTCAAGCCATTCCAAATGCGAGAAAAAACATTTTGCTAGAGAAAAATCTTCGGAATCCTGCAAAAGTGTACGAAAAAGGGCAGCTGGTGCAGTAGCTTTTTTTTACAACATGCATTTTTCGAAAAAAAGGCCGTCATTTGGAGCATCGGACCAAAAAACTACTACCAACCGCGACGCTTCAAGCCATTCCAAATGCGACAAAAACTAATTTTTCTGAAGAAAAACCTTGGATAATCTGCAAAAGTGTACGAAAAAGGGCAGCTGGTGCAGTAGCTTTTTTTACATTTTTTGAAAAAGGCCGTCATTTGGAGCATCGGAAAAAAAATTGCATGTAATCCTTTTAAAAAGGTCCAGAGCAGCTACAGGAAGTCTACTACTATCCGCAGCGCAACCGCGAGATTTTCGAAAAAAGGCCGTCATTTGGAGCATCGGACCAAAAAATTGCACGCGATCCTTTAAAAAGGGCCTTGAGACGCTACAGAAGGCCTACTACTAACCGCGACGCTTCAAGCCATTCCAAATGCGAGAAAAAACATTTTTCTAGAAAAAATTTTTTGGAATCCTGCAAAAGTAGACAAAAAAGAGCAGCTGGTTTTACCAAAAGGCCAAAAATTCCCTTGAACTTTAAGCCTTGGGCAGAGATCTTAACGTAGAAAAAACAGCTGAAAAATTTTGCAGGATTCTGACTAATTAGAACTTTCCTGAAAGTACACCTGGCCTTGCAAATATTTCCCATTTTTGAGCCTAAAAGGATAAACTCGACCTACGTATTTTTGAGAAGGAAGGGAATGCTAATTAGCGTGTTTACCGTGGAAAGTTCATTTGGGAAAGAAATTAGATCTTAAGATAAGTAAAAAGGAGAAAAAAAATATGAATTTAGTGAATTTTTCGGGTCAGGAAAGCCTTGAATTTCTTTTGTTTATGCAAATTTATGAATAGAAAAAAAAATCAAAAAAAGAGTAGGCAATTTTTTTGGAAGTGGTAGATTTTTCTTAAGGCTTTAGACCAATCTATGAGATTACTGGGGCCAAAAAAACATCCTTTTTTAGTAGTTTTTCGGGCTTTCTTTGCAAATTGATTCTTCAAGAAGAATTGAATATATTTGTAGTATTTTAAACCTAAAAAAAGGTTCTAATAATAGCAGTTTTCAAAGCTTTCAAGTTAAATTCTTATCAAATTTAGAACAAAAAACAAGAAATATATAATTTCCCACATGCAAAAATGGAACTAAAAACTCAAAAAGTCACAAAAAGTGCTTTTCAAAAATACTCGGTTTTAAAAGAACATGGACATTAATTATTCTTAATTTTCTATGCTATGCACTTTCAAAATGTTCCTTGAACACTAAACCTCCTTTTCAATGACTTGAAAAAACCATGGTCGCACTTGGAATGGCTCGAAGCGTCGCGGTCGCGTTGCGGTTGAAATGGAAGCTCTTGTCTCATTAAGTTTCGATGCCGAAGGGCGCAAACCGTTTTGAGTCGGTCGCAAATGACAACTTGAGCTAGGAATGGCTCAAAGCGTTGCGGTTGAAATGGAAGCTCTTGTCTCATTAATTTTCGAAGCCAAAGGGCGCAAACCGTTTTGAGTCGGTCGCAAATGACAACTTGAGCTAGGAATGGCTCAAAGCGTTGCGGTTGGAATGGAAGCTCTTGTCTCATTAATTTTCGAAGCCAAAGGGCGCAAACCGTTTCAAGTCGGTCGCAAATGACAACTTGAGCTAGGAATGGCTCGCAGCATCGCGATCGCGTTGCGGTTGAAATGGAAACTCTTGTCTCATTATTTTTCGAAGCCAAAGGTCGCAAACCGTTTTAAGTCGGTCGCCAATGACAACTTGAGCCGTTCCTTGTGCGCTCATACCCATAAGCATCGCCCTAGGGGTTTGAGCTAACTATAAGCTACTTTCTACAAAAATTTCTGATTCAACTACAGCTTTTTTTCGCTAAAAAAAGTGAAAAAATAACTCTAGAGCCTTAAGAATTCTCATTTTCTTGCTCTCTCAAAATCTTAAAATAAACTAACTGAATGCCCACGAATTTATTCGAAATTCACACAGTTGCTGTCGAGTTACTTGCCGACCGACGCCTTGTACTCGTCGTAGCGTTCCGGGAAGTCGATGTTGGCAAAGTTGATGAAGGCCTGGTCGCTGGCGCAGTTGTCCGGGAAGGTGAAGACGTTTGCCTGAGATAATTTTATAAAAAAAAAATTATCGAGAGCTCATGAAAACTTGAAGCAAGTGCGCTCTACCGAACCAGCGTTTCAATCAGCAAGAAGTCCTAGAACTTTCAGAAGCCTTGACGAAAAACTGATCGCTCAGAGTGGTTACTTAAGTGGCGTTCTTAGAGCTTTCTATCTTGCCTTTAAAGCTTTTTAAGGCTCGTCAGGGATCACTTAAGGTACCTCTTAAAGAACTTCTAAAGGAAAAGTTTGTTAATCCTTTTCCTGGCCACTTTAGTGACCCCTGGGACAGGTCTGTCAGGGATCACTTAAGGTATCTCTTGAAGTACTCCTTCAGAGATAGTAACTTCCTCTGAGCCCTTTCCTGACCACTTTAGTGACTCTGGAAGGAATCTCTCAGGGATCACTTCAGGGGACTCTTGAAGCACTCCTTTAAAGATAGTAAGTTTCTCTAAACCCTCTTCTGGCTACTTAAGTGACCACTAGGCTATAAAGTATAGATCCAATGGAAGAAGACTGTCAGGGATCACTTAAGGTGACTCTTGAAGTACTACTTCAGAGATAGAAACTTCCTCTGAACCTTTCCTGACCTCTTCAGTGACCACTGGAACAAATCTGCCAGGGATCACTGAAGATATCTTTTGAAGTATTACTTCAGAGATGGTAGCGCTTTTCCTGACTACTCCAGTGACCACTAGGCTATAAAGTATAGATCCAATGGAAGAAGACTGTCAGGGATCACTTAAGGTATCTCCTTTAAAGAAAACTATTTTTTCGAGCGCTACCCGTGACCACTAGGCTAGAAAGTATAGAGATATTTAAAGATGGGGAGTGATCACTTAAGGGATGTCTCGAAGTGCTAAAAATTCTTCCAGAGTCCCTAGAGCTTTCATGAAGAAGTGGATGCTTTTTTGCTCGGAGCGCAAGTCGTTTCAAGTCGGGCGAAAAAGAGAAAACTCACATCAGCTGGGGTGGTGCTCTGATCGCAAGTGTACTGGTACCCGGTGCAAACTACAAACAAATATGCTTTTATTTCATCTGAAAATCCGGCGAAAATGTCTAGTGGCCACTATAGTAGTCGAGTTAGTGGTCATTTGAAAAGTCCAGATGGTACTACGGGACCACAAAAATTACTATAATGGCCCCTAAGAGTGGCTTCTATAGAGATGGAGTTAGTGGTCACCTAAGTGTCCTCTTCAAGTGGCCACTAGAGTTTTTCAGTCTTTTAAAAAATCACCTCCAACATCAGAACGTTGATAAACGAAGCAGAAGGGCGGGTCGAACAGCATTCTGTTCTTTTTGTAGGTTAGCTGGAAATTTTAAGCTTTAATTAATTAATTGATGATAAAACCGACTCCGTTGGACAAGGCGACAAGGGCCAGGATCAAGATGATGGCTCGGGACATTTTTTGGGGGTCTGGAAGATAACTTTGAAGGTGTCTCCACTTCTTTAGGCTCATTTAGAACTTCAAGAAAGTCTGATTTTCAGAAAAAAGTCGAATTTCAAGGACTTTCTGAGCCTTCTAAGGTTCTAACAAGACCAAGAGAGCTTGAAAAAACTGGAAAAAAGAAGAAAAATGGCTGATATTTTTCCCGCAGTTTGCTTGGCTATTTATACTGGCCAAACCAAACTTCAAACACGAATATTATTCAAATCTTGCCGTTCTGAATCGGTCAATCCGTTCCATACCGAGGTTATTCAAATTCACTTTGTTTGTTGATAATCCTCTAGACAGAAAAAACCAAAAAGTCACACGATTTTCGATCATTTTCTGTTTTCCACCTGAATTTTGTGCCACTAGAGAAAAGAAAAAATGATCCCTTATTTTTTTGAATAAAGAAAAAGGTTCAGGAAATCTCAAAAAATGCTTGTTATTCCACTCGAATTAGGTGTTCAACGCCCTAGAAAAGTTTTTTATCTCCTAGCCTACTCTGAGCGTCTCATGGTCGCATTTGGAATGGATAAGAGCGTCGCGGTTCAACAGAGAGGTCCAGAGCCATTCCCAGTGCGACCAAGACATCTCTAGGCTTATTTTTCCTGCTCATTCTTCTGATGCTGGAGAAAATGAATAATTTATCTAAAATTAGTTAGTTAATTACAGGTATTTCTGTTGTTGCTCTTATCCAGCTTCAACGGCAGCGTATCGAACTTTGAAGTCGGCGTTGGCGAAAGCCCGAAAATCGTTGTTACTGTCGCAGTTCGCTGGGAAAGTCTCTACGTCCTGAAAGTTCCAAACTTTTCTGTAGATGATCAAGAACATCCCCCTATAGGGATCACTAACTGCAACCCCTTTGAGTGGCCACTCCTGAATGCCTTAGAGACCCATGTAGAGGATGGTGAAGTGATCCCTCGAGGGAACTTTCAAGAGTCTTTCAAAGTTCTCCCTCTAGGGACCACTCTGACGTTCCTAAGCATGGCTATTTTTCGAGACTGAAACCTCAGGAGCGGTCCCTAGAGGGGTGAGGGAAAAGCGGCCCCTATAGGGGACACAATAGTGACTCCTAAAGGGGTTAAATTCATCCGCGTGGAAATGCCTCTACACACGGAGTTCTAGAACATCCCCCTCTAGGGATCCCTAACTGCAAACCCTTGAGTGGCCACTTTTGAAAGCTTTAGAGACGGTAAAGTGATCCCTAGAGGGAACTTTCAAGAGCCCCTCTAGGGACCACTCTGGCGTCCCTAGAGAAGCGCCTTTCCTTGATTTTAAAATGGTTGTTCTGGAGTTTTTGCGCTCCATGGACAAAATGAAAAGCTGAAAAGTTGAATACGCTACAAGAGCTGGAAAAACAACCTTTTTTTTCAAAAATAGATTTTCCTTTGTTTTCCTGTTCCTTGGAGCGCGCAAGCTTCTAACGATCATTTTTCAACGATTTTTCTGAAATTCTTACCCCAACTTGAACGGTATCCGGACTGCAATCGTACTGATTACCATTGCACTCTGAAATTTCCCGTCTTATTTGATTATAATTTTTTTTTTCGAATACCAAAAACATCAGGTGAGGTCTCAACACGATGATAAACGAAGCAAAACGGCGGGTCCATGAATCCGTAGTTTTTCTTGATTGTCGTGCCGGCATTGTCCTGGGGAAGAAGGCGTAAGTCGTTTTGGGTCGGGCGAAAGGGGTTTTGTTGAGTTTTCTTGGCTTTACATGAAAATGGAGTACAGAGGAACGTTTTTAAGATGGATAGAGTGAATTTTTTTCGTTGGAAAATAATTTTCAAGGCAAAAACATGGAACCACTAGGCTTTGAAGATTTTCGATAATTTAAAATGGTTTTTTTTCTTGGCCTTTGGAAAGTAAGTGTTGAAAGACCACTATAAACTCCATTTTTTTACATGAAAAACCGCCAAATTTTTTTAAATTTCTAAAAATTATCATTTTTTTCCAAACAAAAAAACCAACCTGTAGTGTCACAGCAACCAGTGCAAGCAATGTTAAAAATCTGAGCATTTAAAAAAAAAAATTATTACGATTAAACTTGTGAAATCGCTCCTATTTATAGTACTCTCCCAACGATTTCTGATCGGATCTTTCCGAAATTTGATTCTTTTTTGGTATCTGTACACCGTTTCAATTAAAACGGGTGTAATCTGAAGATTTTGATCCCTTTTTGGTCAACATAGGTGAGTTTTGCAGGGGCGACAAGGTGATCAAAAATTGGTTTCTTTTATTTCTCGTTGAGAGATGTTTGTAGTTTGGATTTGGTGGGTCGATTTATCTTTTTTCCGAGATTTAAACGGTATATTCTGTTCTGAGATTCGTTCTGGGGAATTTTAACTGTGAAATAATTTTTGAAAGATGTTTGAAATATGTCGTTTCGGGGGGCTAGGGGTAGGCTGCTTTTTTTATTTTTTTAACGGGGGGAACTGGCTGCTTTTTCTGGACGGAGGGGGGGTAGGCCGCTTTTTTCAGGGGAGAGAGGGGGTTCGCCGCTTTTTTTCAGGGGAGAGAGGGGGAGGGGGTGACCGCTTTTTTTCTGCTTTTTTTGGGAGGGGGACAGGTCGCTTTTTTTCAGAGGAGAGGGGGGTATGTCGCTTTTTCAGGGGAGAGAGGGGGAGAGTAGGTCGCTTTTTTTGGGGGAGGAGAGGGGGTTTAACGGGCTTTTTCGGAAAGAGGGGGGGTAGGTCGTATTTTTTTCAGGGGCGAGGGGGTTGGCCGCTTTTTTTCACGGGGGTGGCCGTTTTTTTGCTTTTTTTGGGGGAGGGATAGGTCGCTTTTATCAGGGGGGAACCCAGCCGACCCATGATTTTTTTCTTCATTTTCAATGTTCTCACTCAACTTCATCGAATTTATACAGCCTCTGTCATTTTTCTAGCAAACTACACAAGCGGCAGAGTTTTTGATAATGCGGTTCTGGGCCGTGGCCGCCTGTTCGGGAGGCTCCGTCTGGACGGCGTCAGCCGAAGACTCCAGCTCTTCGTAGCCTTCGATGCTGTTGAGGTTCACGTCTGAACTGGTTCAATTTTCCAGAGCCGAAAATGCGGAAAGACCTCGTTCCCTCTCGACAATCTCCCAGATGCTCTTCTTGAGGCTGCGGATCAAAAAGTAGGTGTCCATTTCGCCCTGAGAAACTTGGATATGGGAAGAAAATAACAGCGATTTTCAAAAAGTCCTAGAAATGGCTCTGGAGAATTTCAGAAGGCTTCTGGAACTTTTTTCTAAACTTCTAAAATTCGGCTTGTTTCCAGAATAGGAATATCGATTTTTCAGAATTTTCAAAAAACTCGAAAAAACTCATAGCAATCCCTAGAAACTCCAAATGGGACTCTAACCGTTTGGGAAGTTCAAAATCTCAAAAAATCGTCATTTTTTCTCGAACTTTTCTCTTTCCTGTGCATATAAGCTCACAAGGGGCGTTTTTTTTAATATCCCAGTAGGAATTTTGAGGAAAATTATCATTGTAGGACCTTCTAGGTAAACGAAGAAAAAGATATGGGATCTTTTTTCTGAGTTATGAGGCTTCAAAGTCCACAAAAAACACAAAAAGTCACGAAAAAACCTTCCTAGACCCCAAAATTTACCTGTCCCTTGACGTTAAATTTTTTTCTAAACTTCTGAAACCCGGCTTTTCTCCAGAATAGGAATATCGATCTCTCAGGATTTTCAAAAAACTCAAAAAAAATCATAGCGATCCCTAAAAACTCCAAATGAGACTCTAGCCGTCTAGGAAGCTCAAAATCTCAAAAAATCCTCCATTTTTTCGAGATATTCTCTTTTCTGTACATATAAGCTCACAAGGGGCGTGTTTTTTTAAGGTTCCTGTTAAAATTTTTAAAGAAAAATTTTTCATTAGAGGACCCTCTAGAAAAAAACAAAAAAAATTATTTTTTTCAGAGTTATGAGGCTTCAAAATTCAAAAAATATACGAAAAATGGAAGGTTTTCAGAATTCAAAAACTCTCATTTTTGAGTTATGATGCTTCAAAGTCCACAAAAAGCCACCGAAAAACCTTTCCAGACCCCAAAATTTACCTGTCCCTTGATGTTCAGCCGTCCACGTCCTTGGAACTCGAATCTGCCCGTCTCAGAAGCTTTTTTGTACGTCTGAAGTGGAAAAATGCAGGTAGAACCCTTCAGAATTCAAGTACCACATCGCTGCAATGGATCTTGCCGGCGATGCCCGCTCGTCTCCATCTTCGAGGCGACGCTGACCGACTCGCCAAAGATGGTGTATCTAGGCAAGGGTCTGAGAGGGAACTTGGCCGGAGGGAGAAGGAGTCAAGGCGAGGGTCTCACCTGGGCATCTTCGAGCCGACGACGCCCGCCACGATGGTTCCCGAGTGGATTCCGACGCGGAGCATCAACGGCTTCTTGTTGACCGGCTCGTAGACGCTCCGTGCTTCGAACATCATTCCTGTGAAGATTATTCTTCGAATTGGAACGATATTAAGGTTCCTAAAAATTGGCCAGAACACTCTTTGATGTACCAGAGAAAGATCCTGAAAGTCTGAATTTGGACAACTTTCTAATTTTTGAAAAAGGTCCCCTAAAATCTGTTAATATAGGGCTTTAAGACCCTCGTTTCTCGGGATCTAGGAATTTGTGCAGGTTGATACTTCTATGATCTTCTTTTGGTATATCTAGGAGTGCTCTAACCATTTTTCAGAAAGTTCCCAACCACTAAGTAAAATGACCTGCCTTGTAGAGAGGGGGGCGGGAGAATTTGTTTTAATTTGAAACTTTTCCCATGCTGACCAGGTGTTTCAACAGGTGTACCCGTGTGTTCTTAGGGGCTATTTGAGTCTTAGTTGTGTATGTGTGTCTAATCTACCCAATCTAGGCAAGCTGTGGCGAAAAAAGAAATTCACAAACCTAAGGCGACGTGGCACATCACCTCGGCGTGGTCTTCTGAATGATCCGGGATACCACTGACCGTCATGTAGCTGTCCCCGACTGTTTCTACTTTGTAGATCTGAAACTAGTCTCTGAGTTTTCGCTTGACTTCTAGGGAATGATTTATTATTATCCTTATTGTTCTATTTCAACTTCCCGAGTGGCCTGAGATCTAATTCGACGCCCGCCAGCGATGGACAAGTCCTTAAGTGGAGAAGAAGATGATCACCAGAATTCTCAAAACTCCTAAAGAAGGACGAGATGATCTAGACGCCGTTCTTGATCAACTACAGTTTCGCGGACCGACAAATAACTCTTCAATTAACCCCCCCTTTGAAGGCTTCTACCCCCTCCTAATAAGTGTCCTTAAATTGAAGCCACCTCCTAAAGTTGTTAACCTAATTTTATATTTGTCAAGCCTACTTCTATACCTTATTTTTATTTTCCGTGAGTCAACCCCTCCTCCCGAACTAAATAAGTATGCAATCAACCCAACTCGCCGTTGGAAAGGATCGCCGATATCATCTAGGAAAATTAAAGTCCAAAAAAGGATTTCAAAAAAATTGAGAACGTCTTTGAGTCAAAATATTGAATCAGAGCTCGCAGTAGATATCTTAATATAGTCCGTTTTCAGCGACTTGAAAGGGCGGAGCTTGTCTGTGACCCTCTCCTGTTTAACGTGCTCTTTCCATGCTCTTCTGACCTCCCTGGTGAGGGAACAGAGAGACGCAGACAGCCGAGAACTTCCAAAAGCGGACTGATCCGAATACTGACATGTCTCAAGACGACGAGCCGGTCGAGCTTCCCGAAAAGGACGTTCAACAGCTGGACAATGTTTTTCGGCGGGCACATCGGGATGATTTGCTGGAAGGCCGGCACGTCGCAGAACATTATCGACGTCTCATATTCAGCTAGAAACAACAAAAATCTTTCATTTTTTCAGGTGTAGTTACTTGGTTCGATATGCTCTCCTCGAAGGAGCCGTTCAGCGATTTGCACAGGTAGCATGTCTTTCAGGATCGCGTCTGAATGGATTTTTATTAAAATAATTATAGAATGTGTACTAACTCAACAAAAAACACCAAATACAGTCATTTTTCCGCCAATTTCCCACCTGTCTTCTCCTTCTCCGCCTCCAAATCCTTGGTCATACTTTCCAGTTGTTCATTGTTCGCTTCCAATTGGAGACTTGAAAATGAAAATAAATAAGTAAACTCTGAAAAACTGAAATCTCGACTCTGTTCTGTGCAAAAATCACTGAAACTCCGTTCGCCGAGACTTTTCAATTGTCTGCTCTCTGTTCCCTCACCGGCGAGGTTAGAAAAACTTGAAAATAGCATGTCAAAATGAGAGACGAGGAGGGCGCAGAAATCGCGGAAAACGGATTATACCAATAGCCTGCTCCCCTAGAGGTGTCACTAACTAAAATCACTGAGGTGGCCGCTTATTTAAGCTTTAGTGCCCCCTAAAGGGGGAGTTAAGGTGGCCCTTTGAGGGGAAGAGCCTTTCTAGTGACCACTCTGGTTTTCTTCTTGAGAACCCCCTTTAGTACCCCCTATAGGAAAAGTTAAAGTGGTCACTTGAGGGGAAAAGTTACTCTAGTGACCACACTTGTGTTAGAAGGAACTAAAAAACTGAAAAAAGGTTTAATTTCGCTCCAAGTCACTTTGACTTTAACACTGGGCTTTTAAGAACCTCATAAAGTTCCAAAATTGAGATTGAACTCTCAAATTTCACTCCAAGTGTAACTTAAGCTTCATCCTAAACCTTTGAAAGCCTTATCAAGTTTTTAAAAATAACCTTAAGCTCACAAATTTCGCTCCGAGTGTTACTTAAGCTTCAACCTACACCTCTAAAAACCTTATCAAGTTCAAGAAATTGACGTTAAATTCTAAAACTTCCTTCAATTGTTACTTAAGCTTTACCCTACACCTTTAAGAGCCTTATCAAATCTTTAAAAATAACCTTAACCTACAAAATTTTGCTCCAAGTGAAACTTAGGCTTCACCCTAAACCTTTAAGGACTCAATCAAGTCTTTAAAAATAACCTTAAGCTCTTTAATTTAGCTAAAAGTGTTACTTAAGCCTCACACCTTTAAGAACTTCATGAGGTCTTTAAAAATAACCTCAAACCCTCAAAAAGAAAACTAGACCAACTTGACTTCAACATCGGTCAGACGCTGCTGATTCAGAAGGATCAGATCCCTGGTGGCGTCGTGGAGCGGCATCGCCGTCAGCCTCATGCCAAACTGCATCAGCTCGTTGATCGAGGTGACGTAAGGTGAGCACAGGTAGATCAGGTGCTGAACCTTCGGATGGCAGTTTTGATGACACCTTTTACCTTTTTCGTTCCGAGGACCATCATCTGCCCTTTCAACTTCAAATGGCAGCCCTGCTGGTAGTCCGAGTTCGACGTCTTGCTCTCACTGCTGATCTCGACTTTTTTTATCGTCAGAAAAGGTCGACCAACTCATAATCATCGTCGTCGCTGCCGCCGCCGCCCAGCTGCTTCTTCTTCAGCGGCGACGTTTTGACCTGCATCACGAAGACGGCGTTGATGAAGTTGCAGACGTTGTCAAAGTCCAGCGGGATCTGGGGACGAGTCACTTCGAAGATTCGGAGAACTGGCGTTCCTGGCTGGAGAAGCTCGGCGGGGATGTGATTGCTGGAAAGAGCTTCGTTTTTTGAAGCTGTGATGTGCTTCAGATGATGCTAAATGCACCAGAAAATCATTTTTTCATCTTCCAGGGTCTAACGCCGCCAAAAATCTGCTTTCCCAGAAATTTTGAGTGTTCATAATTTATCGAAAGGCCAACTTCTTGGTCTGGAATCTGGAATATTCAAAAATACCCCAGCTTCATCAAATTCTCAAAGCTTGTACTTTCCAGCTGCCTCAGCTCAGGTCATTGAAAATACCAGAAAAAAAATTTGAAAAATCTAATTTTTAACCATGTGAGTAATATATAGTAAAGCTTACGGTCAAGTTTTACAGTTTTACAGAAAAATTTCTGAAAAATCAAACTATAATCAATTCTTATGAGCCGACTTTCGAAATCGGTAGATTTTTTTTTTGTTTCTTTAGGTATTTTTTAGTGTCCTTTTGAAATAGCCCTTGAGGGACCTCTTAAGTAGCCACTGTGGCCACTAGAGAGAAAGTAGTGGCTTCTTTGGGGATTATTAGTGTCCTCTTCAAGTAGTCCTTGAGAAACCTCTTAAGTAGCCACTAAAGAAAGAACTACTACAGTGGCCACAAGAGGAAAAGTAGTGGCTCCTTTAGAGTCTTCTTCAAATGGCCCTTGAGGGACCTCTTAAGTAGCCACTAAAGAGAGAACTACTACAGTGGCCACAAGAGGAAAAGTAGTGGCTCCTTTAGAGTCTTCTTCAAATGGCCCTTGAGGGACCTCTTAAGTAGCCACTAAAGAGAGAACTACTACAGTGGCCACAAGAGGAAAAGTAGTGGCTCCTTTAGAGTCTTCTTCAAATGGCCCTTGAGGGACCTCTTAAGTAGCCACTAAAGAGAGAACTACTACAGTGGCCACAAGAGGAAAAGTAGTGGCTCCTTTAGAGTCTTCTTCAAATGGCCCTTGAGGGACCTCTTAAGTAGCCACTAAAGAGAGAACTACTACAGTGGCCACAAGAGGAAAAGTAGTGGCTCCTTTAGAGTCTTCTTCAAATGGCCCTTGAGGGACCTCTTAAGTAGCCACTAAAGAGAGAACTACTACAGTGGCCACAAGAGGAAAAGTAGTGGCTCCTTTAGAGTCTTCTTCAAATGGCCCTTGATGTACCTCTCAACACGCTGTCTCTGTAACTGTCAAAAACAACGGGTACAATAAAAAATTTTATTTTTTGATTCTGATGAAACTTCATCCAGTGTGATAAGCCATCATCAGAAATGCGGACACAACTTTTTGAGCCATTTCGTCCTACTGTAGCCGGGCTACGGTAGGCAGGTGGGCACCTGCGTATCTAAGTATTGAAGAGTTTGTACTAGGCAAGTGATATATCAATTGATAGGTAATTCAATTTCAGAAACTTTTACAGTACACACCATGCCGGATTACTGTAGGGATTTTCGAGTTACGGTGACTTTTGTGTTTGGAAAGTCGGTTTTTCGGTCACCCTGGCCGTCGGCATAGAATCGCATCCTGATTGCTTCCATGGAATGTGCCCTTCAGTATGCTTTACACGATGCCACGAAAAAAAGTTAGAATTTCTGAACCTAACATCTCGAGATTTCACTCCGAACGCGCGCAACTTGGCACTTGGCGGCCAGGGTTGGTCGGGGTTGACGATTTTTCACATTTTTCTTTTGTTAAATGTTGGTGTGAAAAACTTTTTTTAGAATGTTACTACAGTGTGTTGTGTATCATTCAAAAGGATTTGGAGAGACTTTTATGCTTTATGTTCAGCCGAAATTTCGTTTTGAACTCAATTTTTGCTTGAAAAAGCGCGATTCCCTTCGAAAAGTCGAATTTTTTTCTCTTTCCAACTGTCCCGCTGTTTTCAAAGCTATCAAATAAGAAACAAGCACCTTTAAAGTGATGATTAATAAGACATTGTTTGACTTCCACTGAACCTGTCCTGCCGAAACTTTCTTTTGAACTTACTATTGCCCTGAAAAAACAGATTTTTAAAAATTTCCAACTGTACCGCAGTTTCCAAAGCTATCAAATATGTAGCTGATATCTTCAAAGTAAACATTCATGAGACTTTGCTCAACTTTCACCGAACCTATCTAGCCAAAAACTTCCTCCGAACCCTTTTTGGCTTCGTTGGTGGGTTTGAAGTTTGGCTTTTGAACCTTGTTGCTTCGTTCTTATCCGAAAATCGTTAGAAGTAACGTTTTTATGAGGAAAAAAAACGGTGCAGAAAAGCGATCTACGAAAATTTCGCCATCGTTGGCAGAAAATTGAGGCACTGTTGCGCTCCACCAATAACACTCGCCAGAGGCAGAATTTCAATTCTTTTTGACTATATTCAATATTTATTATTGTTCTACTGTTGTTTCCGGTTCTAATTCTGTTTTGTGCTTGCTGTTTCTGACGACTGCAAGATTTTTAAAAGATTTGAGCATTTTTTTACGGAATAACGAAAAATTCATGAAAAAAACTTTTCGTTAGTTAAATAGCCGAAAAAATCCTAATTCAAGGATTAAAGAAGGAATTTAACAAAAGGTCCAATAAAACCTTCACATTGCGATTTTTCTTAGCTTTCTAAATAAAAACCTTGTTTTTTCTAATTATTGTACATTTTTTCGAAAAATTAATCTCTCAATGAAACAACTATCTTTGCAATCATTCAATTTGAAAATAAAAGTAAAAAAATCTCAAAAACCTTTGCTACGGGCTACAAAAATCAAACTTCAAACCCACCAACGAAGCCAAAAAGGGTTCGGAGGAAGTTTTTGGCCAGATAGGTTCGGTGAAAGTTGAGCAAAGTCTTATGAATGTTTACTTTAAAGATATCAGCTACATATTTGATAGCTTTGCAAACTGCGGTACAGTTGGAAATTTTTAAAAATCTGTTTTTTCAGGGCAAATGTTGCTTTTTCAAGCCAATAGTAAGTTCAAAAGAAAGTTTCGGCAGGACAGGTTCAGTGGAAGTCAAACAATGCCTTATTAATTATCACTTTAAAGGTGCTTGTTTCTTATTTGATAGCTTTGAAAACAGCGGGACAGTTGGAAAGAGAAAAAAATTCGACTTTTCGAAGGGAATCGCGCTTTTTCAAGCAAAAATTGAGTTCAAAACGAAATTTCGGCTGAACATAAAGCATAAAAGTCTCTCCAAATCCTTTTGAATGATACACAACACACTGTAGTAACATTCTAAAAAGTTTTCACACCAACATGTAACAAAAGAAAAATGTGAAAAATCGTCAACCCCGACCAACCCTGGCCGCCAAGTGCCAAGTTGCGCGCGTTCGGAGTGAAATCTCGAGATGTTAGGTTCAGAAATTCTAACTTTTTTTCGTGGCATCGTGTAAAGCATACTGAAGGGCACATTCCATGGAAGCAATCAGGATGCGATTCTATGCCGACGGCCAGGGTGACCGAAAAACCGACTTTCCAAACACAAAAGTCACCGTAACTCGAAAATTCCTTCAGTAACCCGGCATGGTATGTACTGTAAAAGTTTCTGAAATTGGATTACCTATCAATTGATATATCACTTGCCTAGTACAAACTCTTCAATACTTAGATACGCAGGTGCCCACCTGCCTACCGTAGCCCGGCTACAGTAGGACGAAATGGCTCAAAAAGTTGTTTCCGCATTTCTGATGATGGCTTATCACACTGGATGAAGTTTCATCAGAATCAAAAAATAAAATTTTTTATTGTACCCGTTGCTTTTGAGACTTTTTGAAAATTACAGAGACAGCGTGTCAAGTTGCCCCTAAAGTTTTTCACAGTGGAATCCAACTTTCCCTGTCCAACTCACTGCAATTCACGGCCACACTGAACCAATTTACAGTTATCATCCATGACAAAATGATAAGGTAGAGCCTTGGCGAAGTCCAACTCCGAGAGTCTCAAGAAGTCGTCGGCGCCCTCTGAAGCTGAACTTCTTCTCGTCTTCTCGGAAGTTTTCTTCTCGAGGATTCCTACCAACTGGGGAAACGGTCGGGAGGAGGGATGCTGATGAGCCGTCCGAAGCTCGTCGTTGCTCTCCGACGTCCTGATTTTCGAAAATATTGATTGATTTCCTTGAAAAACTACTTTGATGAGGAACATGACGTGTTCTTCGACACGCTCCCCGCTGCTCATATGAACGCTTCTTTGGGTTCTTCCCTGGACCGTCAGGGAAATGTCCATGTCGAACACGCATTTCGCCACTTCTTTCACGACGCCTAAAGGGAACACTTCAAATAAAGGCCAAACTTTCATTATTTTCATGATTTTCAGGTCATTTTTGACTTCTAAAAAGCTCGGGACCGAGAAAAAAGATCATTTCGAAAAATTCTTTGAAAAAAATCCCTAGGCCACTTCTTTCACCACACCTAAAGGGAATACTTAAAATAATGATCGATTTTCAGTTTTTTTTTATGATTTTCAGGTCTTTTTGACTTTTAGAAAGCTTGGAATCAAGAAAAAGGAAATTCTTAAGCCACTAATTTCACGGCACCTAAAGGGGATACTTCAATTAAAGACCAAATTTTCATTATTTTCATGATTTTCAGGTCATTTTTGACTTATAAAAAGCTCAAAACCAAGAAAAAATATAATTTCAAGAAATTCTTTCCGAGAAAAAAATTCCCGTGTCAATTCTTTCAGCACATCTAACACGTAAAGGGGATACTTCAATAAATAGCCAAATTTGAGCTATTTTTTAGTCTACTTCAGGCCATTGTAAGTCCTGAAGCGACTTCTGAAAAGCTCGGAATTCAGAAAAATCCAAATCCACTAAGAATCTCAACTTTAAGGACACCTGAAGGGGTCACTTCATTTAATGACCAAATTTTCGGCTATTTTTGTGTCTTTCAGGTCATTTTTGATTTATATAAAGCTCGGAATCGAGAAAAAAGACCATTGTGAAAAATTCAGGTCAACTCAAAGTCTTTATCGATTTTTTCAGACAGGGTAAGTTTTCTTTCACCACACCTAAAGGGGTTACTTCAATTAACGGCCAAATTTTGGGCTATTTTTTTGTTTTTCAGGCCATTTTTGACACTGAAAAGCTCGGAAACAAGAAACAAGGGCAATTTTTGAAAATTCAAGTCTACCCAAACCAAATTTGCGGCTATCTGGCCATTTTTGACCCTGAAAAGTTGAGAATAAACAATAAAATGGTGAAAAATTCAAGTCGTCAAAAACCGAACCTTTGACAATGGGATAGAGCCCCGGACGGCCGGTGAAATAATGGAGCATCAAAGTTCCATCCGCATTTTCCTCGCATCGGAACGATGGGCCTCGAAGGTTGGCTTTGAAAACGACGTGGTCGATGAAGTAATGGAGAGCGTCTAGGTTGTCGAGGAAGCCCTGGAAAATGAACTTGCGAAAAAAGTTCCTATATGGGTTTCGGGTCGGAACCCTCACCCCCTAAAGCTCAAGTGGTCACTATAGGACGTAGGAGAAAAAACAGCCTCTATGGGGTTCAAAAAAGTGCCGGTGAAAATTCAGGTGGTCCCTATAGGGGTTAGAGATGAAAAACAGCCCCTACAGGGGACAAAAAAGTGCCGGGGCAAAGTTCAGGTGGTCCCTATAGGGGTTTCGGATCGGATTCCTGAGCCCCTAAAGCTCGAGTGGTCCCTATAGGGGTCAGGGCCTCTAAAGGAGGCAAATGTTTTTCCCTATAAGGGCGAATTTCAGGTGGTCCCTTAAGGGGTTCAGCGTCTGACACCTAAGTCCCCAAAAGCTCAAGGGGTCCTTTTAGGGATAGGGCAAAAAGCCCCTAAAAGGGAAAAAAAATGCCTTAAATAAGATAAATTTAAGATGGCCCCTATAAGGCTTTAGGATCTGATCCCTTAGCCCCCAAAGAACAAGTGGTCACTATAGGGGTTAGGGGAAATAACAGCCTCTAGAGGAGGCAAATATTTTTCCCTATAAGGGTGAAATTCAGGTGGTCCCTTAAGGGTTTTAGCGTCTGACACCCAAGTGCTCAAAGTGGCTTCTATAGTATCATTTAGGTCCCCTATAGGGGCCACTTTTGCAAGCTCTAGTGGCCCCTAAAGTGGAACCTTTAAGAGCACCTAATCTCGCTCCTATAGGGATCACTCTGGTGTTTTAAATATATTTTTCAAGTCAAAGTTACCTTCAAATTGGGACTCAAGGCTCGGACAAGCTCATCCCAACCAATTTCCATCGAATAAGTGATCAGAAAAGCGCCGTAGAGTTCCCAGACTTGATCTCGGGTTACTTCTTCAATTTGATCAATAAATTATCGATTTTATTGATTGAAACTGAACTGATCACAACGCTGACACTATCAACCAGGATATAGGTATCCTGATCTGAATAATAGTGATTGACAATGTTTTCTTTGCCATTTTCGAACCCGGATCGGTCACTGAAACATATGGATCTTGCAAAAAATTGCGAATATTGGGAATGGCTCGCTGCACCCGACTACGAAGTGACTTGCGCTTCAAGATATCGAAAACTTGAAGCGAGCCAGTTATAAATTGGATCAACCAACTTTTTTTTAAACCGCAACGAACCATTCCAAATGCGACCAGGACTTACAGAACTTGCATCCAAGTCGCTTCGCCATACTTTCGTATGATTAATTGACGAATACTCTCGTGAATAAAACCAAACTAAACGAATTTTTTCAAAAACTGAATTTCGATATAACCAACCATTCTGAAGGTGCCAGGTGAGACGAAATGATGGGAGATGAATTCTTGACACGCAATAGTCCTTTCATATTCACCTTAACTTGTCAGGTGATGCCACATAATTAATGGGAAAACGCTCGGAGGCAAGACTTATGACCGATTTGAGAGACTTCTCATTTTTCAAAAAACGAAAAAATCGACAGCAATGAACTTGAACTAATTTTTGAAAGAATCAAAAACATGAAAAAATTTTCTAAAAAGTTCTTCACAAAAAGTCCAATTCCTCAAATAACAAGCAAATGAAGAAACAAGAGGAAACATTGAACTTTTTCAACGAAAACTTTCGAAAAAGGTTGGCAACTAGACTTTGAACGTTTTTAAAAAGGCTTTCCAAACATCTTTAAAATGCGCAAAAATATTTCAAAAAGATCCGAACAAAATGAAAAACAAAATATAAAAAAATTTAGATTTGAAAACGATGTTCAAAACTTGCGCGGAAGTTTACAAACGTGCGAAGCCGTGTATGCACTATCTCGTAAATTAGCGCCAAGCGCCGTTTTTCAAAATTTTTTTGGTTTTTTTACTTTTTTTCTTCTTTTTTTAATAATTGATCATCTCTTGTTCATAAAATACATGCAAGTACAACACGGTGGTTCTTTTGCGACGCCCCGCCCACTTCTCTCCGTCAATTAAGACGTGTTTAGTGCATGCACAAAAAATTTGGAAAATAAGGTTAACCGATGATATAAGTGTGAGAAACGAATGAACATTGAAGAAAAAAGACGAGGAAAATAAAAGAGATTAAATAAAACTATATTGCTGTGGAGAAACAAATAAAAGATGTTTTACAGAAAGTACTTTTTATTATAAAAAGTTGACGGAATATCCGGATATAAATGAATTCCGGAACATACTTTCTCAACTTCACAGACATTTTTCATGTAACTTCATCTCATTGATGTCCACAACCTAGGAATCTGAACAATCGACAAAAAAATAGAATAAGAAAACATAAAATGGGGTGAAACATGTTCCATACAAACAGGTGGAGATTTTTCAAAACGCTTCTTCATCACGAGTTTTAAAGTTAGCCTCACAGAACTACTTTCAAAAAAACGTCTAACAGCCCAGAGTATACCCCGATCGTGGTCCCGCAATACTATCAGCAATCTACGAAAAGAAAAAGTGAAAAAATATGAAAAAATTGACAAAAAATCAAAAATAAAGCCACTTTTAAATTTCGCGGGCGAATTTCGAGAAGTGCGCAGACTTTGCCGAGTTTCAAATTCCTTGCATTTTCTTCAACTGGCAGAAACGCCGTGACAAATATACGCATTTTTTTGTATCAATTGAAGCCTTTTTTTTCGATCTCACATGCGATTTCAAATATTTTCAATGCTTTTTCATTTTTTTTTTTCGATCTTCTTCCACTTTTCAAAGCATTTAAACTTTTTCAAACATGCACATTACGAAATTTTCAATAAATTTATCAACCAATATCTCTCTTTTTTTTTCGTTGCTCACATGCACTTGCTTATTTATAATTATCATGCTTGGGAGTGGAACAATACATATATATCTTAAAATCATTGCCTAAGCCAACAAAAATATTTAAAAAAAAATTGACAAATGAGGTTGAATAATCAGCGGTGTATAAGGAGGTTTGTGGGGAGAACATAAAAATCTTTGTTTCTGAGTAAAAATCTCTGAGAAATGAAATCAAGAAATCCTTCAAGTGTTTCCTGAAGAAAAAAGCCATGGAAGAATAAGGGCAGTTTTTTTTAATAACATTTCGTTGTTAGTTCAAAAAGCGTCGTTTTGAAAATAATTTTTGGACTTTTAACTTTGTAAAAATCAAATTTTGAGCCCAAAAATGATTTCAAAACAACGAAGAATGATAGAAATTTGCGCGATTGCATTAAAACAAAATTTTCTGGCGACAAAGCCCGTCAAAAACAGAAAAAAAATAGTCCAAACATCACAAGAATGGCACTGGTCTAAATATCAAATTGACAAGAAAAACGAAAAAAAAAACAAGCTGAGGTGTATCAAATGTCATTGGGTTTAGCGAAAGTGAAAAAAGTGACAAGAAAAAAGAAGAAAAAACTAAAATCCGACTACGATAAAGAAAAAATCTACCGATTCACTGCTGATATGTGTGAGAAAATGTTCGCATTTTTGAGCTTTTCAAATAAAAAGAAAGAAAAAAATGTTTGGTCGGAGGAAAATTGGTCAAAAAAATTTACAACGTGTCTGATCTGTGCCTAGATTAGTGTCCGATCCGTAGGAGATTTTTCTGAGCCCTCAAGGGATCCCTTGAGAAATCATCATTCGGTGAAGCTGCTCTGCGAAAACTCGAATGTCGAATTGTTCGAATTCGGCTCGTAGTCAGTCATCGGCTCGCTCTGAAAAATTGGGAATTATTTTTGAGCCCTTAAGTGGCCCCTTGATTGACTTCCTTTGAAAGAAGAAGTGGGGAGCCATTTTTTTCAATAATGTTAATTTTTGCTGGATTTTGAGCATCTTAGTGATCCCTATAGGGAAAATATGACGTCACTAGTTTCTCATTATTTGTTCTCTTCCTATTCAAAAGTAATCTCTACCGAGTGATCTCTAGATGACGTCAGAAGCTCCACCCTTAAGTGATCACTTGCGTAAAAACCACATAAAAAATATTTTTTTCAAGCTCGATATGATTTCTGCCGTCTCACCCTCCAGATAAAGCCAAAAAACTTCTTATTATGAGAATTTTTCCCTCAAGTGATCACTCAGAATCTGAATTAATTTTTTTTTCAAGCTTCTCAAGGCTTCTGCCATGCTTTCTCATCATCCAGATGTCGTCAGATATTTCTTATTCTGAAAATTTGACCCTTAAGTGATCACTTGAGTGCTCACAAGTTTTTTTTCAAGCTCTCCAAGGTTTCTTTTCTGATTTTCTAGGTGTCGTCATATGTTTCTTATTCTAAAAATTTTTCCCTTAAGTGATCACTTGAGTTGAACTTTTTTTTCAGCATAATGAGGTTTCTGCCGTCAATTTCTCTAGCTGACGTCGAAAATTCTTATTCTAACTTTAAGTGATCACTTAAGTACTCACAAGTTTTTTTTTTCAAGCTCTCCAAGGTTTCTACTATGTTTTCTGATCCTCTAGGTGTTGTCAGATATTTCTTATTCTAAATATTTGACCCTTAAGTGATCACTGAAGGCACTCGGAAGGTTTCTGCTGTCTCACTCCCTAGATGACGTCGAAAATTCCTAATCCTGAAAATTTGACCCTCAAGTGATCATTTGCAGAAAAAACTCATGAAAAATTTGCGGCTTCTGCTGTCTCACTCCTTAAGTGACGTCAAAAATTCCTAGTTCGGAAAATTTGACCCTCAAGTGATCACTGAAGGGCACTTTCTCCTGTCTCATTCCCCTAGGTGACGTCACAAATTCCATAATCTCTTTCCCTAAACGATCCTTAACACGATTTTATCACCCTAAAGAACTTCCCGTGGGAAGTATTACTCTAAAAAACGACGATTTATGTATTCAAACACTATTCTTTCTTGGATATCTTATCAGATCTTCAAGAAAAACCAAAAAGCCTCCAAACCTCTTCAGAAGACTGATTGTCCTTCTTTTTGCGCGGTTTCCGGCCACGGGTCGAGTTCTGCTTGTGGGAGCTGAGCTTCAACTGCAGCTCCTCGCGGTTGATTCCCATCGCCGAGGCTCGCATCGCCTCCAGCTTCCGGTCCCACTCGACGACGCCTGTTTCCAATTATTAGACTTTTTCTTGACAAAGTTTTTTTTAGTTAGTTGCAATCTCACAGTGATTTTAGTGTTGGAATAGCGTCCATTTTGAAAAAAAGGTCATGACAATTTTGAAAATGTATCAGACTGGGAAAGAGCGCTCCATGGCTAATTGAAAACTCGATTCATCCTACTTGGATTTCGGACGCTTCTAGTGATCAATTAAGCACGTTGACACCGCCAAGTGATCACTTAAGGACGCTGACACCGTTAAAGTGGTCACTTAAGGACGTTGACATCGGCAAAGTGATCACTTAAAGATGCTGACACCGCCAAAGTGATCACTTAAGGATTCTGACACCGCCAAAGTGATCACTTAAGGAACTGACAATGTCAAAGTGATCCTTGAAAGATGTTGAAATCGCCAAAGTGATCACTTAAGGATGCCCAGAAACTTCTGGGACGCGTCCGGTTAGCTTTACCGAGGTCCGAGTACCATCTCAAAAAAATACTGAAGCTTTTATGGTCCTGTGAATTCAATAGGACACTAAAGAGATGCCTTAGCCACTAAAGTGATCCCTAAATGGCAATACGTCAAGTTTTTCGGCCAGACACTAGCGTTACCAATTAGAGAAATGATTTTTCGTGATTATCCATGGAGCGCACAGTCTCAAAAGATGATAAAATGCTAACGTTTTTTAAGTTTTCTCATAGGTTTTAAAATAATGCCTCAGGAGCTTTCAAATTTGACAAATTTTAGAAATATTTGAAAGAAAAAAAAAACGACTTTTTGAGATTATCAGTTTATCCATAGAGCGCACATTCTCAAAAAATGATAAAATGCTAACTAATGATTTTTTCAAGCTTTCTCATAGGTCAAGTTTAGAAATAATACATCAGAAGCTTTTCTTCCGAAATTTCTGACCAGTTTTAGGAATATTTGAAAGAAAAAAACGACTTTTTTGAGATTATCCATGGAGCGCACATTCTCAAAAAATGATAAAAGGCTATTTAATGATTTTTCCAAGTTTTCTCATAGGTTTAGAAATGATACTCAGGATCTTCAATTTGAAAAGATTTTTGGGACTCGAAAGTAGATGCTCAGACCATTTTTATCAATACAGGAAAAGTCGTTAAAGTGAAATCAGAAGACCTTCTGAAAAGCTTAACCAGAAGACAAATCGATCAAATCTTTTCATAAGATCTGGAAGAAAAGCCTAGTTAAACTCATCTTTGAAAATCTTACTATCAAATGAAACAGGTACCTTTCAAGCTCTTGCACTCGGGCACCGGATGGCAGGTGTTCAAATGCCGCTTCATGTTTCCCTTGTAGACGGTCACGAAGTCGCAGACGTCACAAATGTAGGCGTCTTTGAATGTCCGGCCGTCGATCTCGATGGCAAAGTCGGCGGTGCTGCCGCCATTCTCCGGTGCCGATTCTCGTTTCAGCGTCACTTTGGCCGGCATGGAGCCGTAGAAAGATCCGCCACTGATGGGGGAGCACATGGCTGACCGCTGATGTCCGTAAAAGGGTGATGAAGACGTCGGCGAGATCGGCGGTGACGTGAACAGGGAGCTGTGGCTCATCGAAGGTGGCGCCGAGCCTGGGGGGCCTGGAAAATTTCAGATTCCTCCTTTTATAGATATTTTTAAAAGTGGAATTCAGATACAGGAAGCCCCATCTAGCTCCTAAAGAAAGGTCGTTTCACTTCTTGTTAAGAATATCCTAAAAAACCGGCCCAAACACTTCTGGAGTACCAGATGAAGACCTGAAAGACCAGTACGAACTTCTAGTTTCCGAGAAAGGACACTTCAAAGACTACAAATTCATTGAAAAAAGGATTCAGGCTTTCATCCCTTACTTCTCGAAAACTAGAAAGTTGTGCAGGTTGAGACTTTCAGACTCTTCTTCTGGTACATCAAGGAGTGTTCTGACCAACTTCAGGGAGTTCCCAACCAAAAAGTGAAATGACCTTTCTTGTAAGGGCTTTTTTTCAGAACTGTTGAAATTTATATCGCTTGACTGGGTATCAAATTTAAGATCCTCCAGCTTTAAATTAATTTATTTTGAAAATAAAATTGAGAAAGCTGTAAATTTCCGGGTAATTCATGATTTTTCAAAGTTTCTAAAGCATATAGCTCAAATTATTGAGCCTTATAAGGTATCAAAGAATTCAAAAATTGAAAAATTCAAAAGCTGTTCCGATTATTTCAATTTTTAATCGTTGAGAGAAACGGCGAAATTTTTGAATTTTTGAATTTTTTATTTTCTTAAGCTGTCCTTCTCATTAGAAGATTTTGGCATGCTGGAAAAGTCGGTCGGTTCGGTTGGTTTGGAAAACCAGACCACGCCGCAATTTTGCTCCATGGAAAATCGAACTTCAGACTTTTTTTTTTCCTTTTTCTACATTTTTCCTTCCTTTTTATCGGTTTTCTAGGATATGGGACACATGCTCCTCAGATTAAAAAAAAATGTTCCTTATTTATGATTGTTTCTCTAGGTAATGTTTTACCTTTTGTTGGAAGTAATTTTGTTTCTTGCCTTTTTTGTGTGTATTTTACACATTATCTCATTTTCAGATCACTTATGATTTTTGATTTTGCTCATTTGGTTAGATGAAGTATTTTGTATCCAAAAAAATGAATGAGAAATTTCAAAAATCGAATCAGTTCCTAATTTTGAACGTAGTATCCATCGTATTTTGCTCGCGAAAAACGATACAATTGAATGAAAAATAAGCGAGAACATTCTTAGTAAAATTTAAAAAAAGGAAGAAAAATTCAGAAAAGAAAAAGTTTAAAATTCTAAGTTTCTCATGGAGCAAAATTACGGCGTGGCCTAGTTTTCCAAACTGACCGACCAACCGACCGAACCGACCGACTTTTCCAGCATGCGGAAGACTTCTACTTGTCCCCCCTCCCTTTGATTTTTCAATGAATTTTGGTCAAAAATTCCTTTGGACCTCCTGAGACAAGAAAAATCATGCAATAGATCTTTTTTTCAAGTTAGGATCTCTTAACACCCGCAAAAATCAAAAACTTTTTTTTTTAGTCCCAGCTGATTTTAGTCCTACATAGCAACTAGACCGTCTACACTAGAACCAATAATTTTTCGTTTGACATTCTTGAACCTTTAAAGTGTTATTGAAACGTACATGGATCATAGCCCTCCTTGAGGTCGGGCGAAATCCCGGAATCGTCTGTTTTCCTCCGCTTCTTCGTGCTCTTCTCCTTGTCGGATCGGGGTCGCTTCTGCGCGTCGCTGTTCTTGCAGCACTGATTGATGTGTCGACGGATATTGCCCTAAAATATCCCTACTACAAAGCTCAAAAGCTCAAAAATCCACCTTGTAATGGCTGATGAACCTGTCACAAAACGGACACACTGGAGACATTCCATCGTGTCCATTGGTGATGGCGCCGGATTTTATAGCCGATTCCGTTCCGGGGATCGTCGGATTGCCGCCGGCCGCCACTTGGTCCAGGTAGTTGCGGCCTGAACGTTCTAACCCCGATATTTGGCTGTTATACGGTGGGAAGGAGTTTGAAAGGCCTTGGAAACTGATTTTAGTGTTCTTAAAAAGTTGAAAATGTGATTTGAAGCTTTTAAGGGTCATCCAAGTACTACTAGGAGCTCATGAACGACGAAAAGCTCATTTTTCGGTTCAGAAAACCTACTTTTTTCTTCTTCTTCAAGTCCTTCTGGCTTTGAAAATTTGGAAAACAGATGAGCTTGATAAAATTGGAAAAGCTTCAGGGATCAATGTTTTAGAAACACCAGAGTGGTCCCCGTAGGGATCAAAAAAGTGCCCCCAAAAGGGGTGAAATTCAAGTGGTCTGACCACTAAGCCGATAAAGCTCTAGTGGCCCCTATAGGAGTACAATTTAGGTGGTCCCTATAGGCCTTTCGGATGACATCGGTCAGCCCTTAAAGCTCAAGTGGCCCCCATAGGGGTAAAATTCAAGTGGCACCTATAGGAGTTCAGGATCTGACCCTAAGCCAATAAAAAAGCTCAAGTGGCCTCTATAGGAGTTTAGAATCAGATCCGTAAACCCCTAAAGCTCAAGTGGGCCTTATAGGGGTAAAACTCAAGTGATCCCTATAGGAGTTCAGGATCTGACTAGAAAGCCCTTGAAGCTCAAGTAGCCCCTATAGGGATAAAATTTAGGTGGTCCCTATAGGCCTTTCGGGTCTCCTATCAGTAAGCCCTTGAAGCTCAAGTGGCCCCTACAGGGGTGAAGTTAAAGTGGTCCCTATAGGAGTTTAGGATCTGACCCAAAAACCCTTGAAGCTCAAGTGGCCCCTAAAGGGTCTCTTAATTTTTCGTTCGAGTTTGTAAATGCAGAACGATAACTTTTATAGTTTCTTATTCAAAAAATTCTAATTTAATGATTTTTTCACATGATATTGCTCCTTAACATGAGTTAATAAGATCGCCCCTGAAGTGAGCACTTTTCCACGCTTTAGTGGCCCCTATGGAAGAAGGTAAAGTCGTTCTTAGAGTGGAATTTTCAAGGGCCCCTATAGGGACTACTTTTCAAGCTTCAGGGGCTCCTATAGGGGCTGTAAAGCGGTCCCTAGATTGGATCCTTCAAGGGCCACTCTAGGGACCACTCTGAGTTATCCATTTGTTATAATAACACCTCCAACAAGAACTCCTCAAAGAAAGCCAGAAAAAAGGTCGCCAACCGATAATTTCGCGGCATTTCTCGTTGCGGCCAATATGGCCGGTCAGGCTTCTCCTGGAGGGATAGACGCCGCGGCAGGCCATGCACATGACGCGTTCTTCGTCGGTTCCCTAGAAGATTTGGTCATTTTTCTTGTCAATGATTGAGATTCCAACCTCGACATCCGTTGAGATGACGTCACTGGAGAGGGGAGGTGTTCCAGAGGCCGCCGAATCGCTTGACGTCACTGCAGGGCTGTTCATGGAGGCCTGGAAATTTGGAATGGTTCTGTGTTTTTTTTGGACCAGCTGAGGTTCAGATACAATTCCAAGTGTCCCTAGGACTACTAGGATCCATTTTTTCTGGTGAAAGAAAAAACCAAAAATGAAAAATCTCAAAAAGTCATTTTTTGTAATTTTTCTATGAAGCTTTCCTGAGTTTTATGACGATATTATTGACTTTGAAGTTTAAAAAAAAGAAATTTTTGAAAAAAATCATTTATGGGAAGCTTCAAAAAGAGCCTACAATAAGCTTCAACTTCGATTTTACTCAAAAAGTTCAATTTCTCGCTGACTTCCGTTAGAAAAAAGATTTCGGACCTCAAAACCGGACTAAACGTTTCTGAGAACTCGCAGGGATCACTAAAGAGTTCTGACGCCCCTTAAGTAGTCACTAGAAATGCTCGGTTCGCGTTACCATGGTCCAAGGCTTCAAGACCACGCAAAAAAGAAGTTGGAATTTTTTTGGTTATTTCGCTACAGTAACCCGAAAAAGGGGCGGAGCCAGTCAAACCCTTACTATAATGTTCAAGACCTTGTTGTAGCTATGGACCAAAATATGAACTCAGAAAACTCAATCTGAAATTTTGGTACGGTTAATTGCGTTTCTGGGCACCTTCAAAACATGGGGGGCTTCGAGAGGGGTTTTCAGTGATTTATTGATTTTCTGAAGGTCCTTTTCTCAGTATCTTTTCTCTAGAAATCGTCAAAAACTGACATCATCACAGGGCGACACCGCACTGGTGGCACTACACTGCCTGGAGGCGAACTCCGGGCTGACTGCGGACCTGGGGCGACGTCTGCGTGTTCTGCTGCTGCTGCTGCTGCGACTGCTGCGGCTGCGATTGACTGGGATAGGTCGGCTGCAAAATCTCCTCAAACTCTGCACAACCCTCCCAAGAACCTCAGGGTCGCATGATCATGTCGCTTCCGGACGGTAGCCGGAGCGGCTGGAGCTGAGGCCGGCTGCGGCATCAGCAGGGAGGCTTGAGGCGGCAGGCTGGTAGTACTGCGTGGGGTACTGCGGCTGCGGGACGAAGACCCGCGGTTGGTACGGCTGAAAAGGTCTGCGGGACGCCGTACTGCTGCCGGTAGCTGAACTGCAGGTCGTACCTGGAAAATTTTTGGAGAGTTTAGGAGTTTCTGACTGTTCTGAATCCTTCAGGAGCTTCAAAAAAGATTAAACAAGGACTGTTTTCAGTTTGAAATGGAGTTACTGATTGATGCTCAAATGTAGTTTTGACCGCTGATTCCAAATTTGGGAACAAAAATCCTCAAAGAAGCCTTTGGAAAAAGTTATGGGCTTCCAAATTCGAAAAATGCCTTGCTTCACCCATATACCCTGGTCCCAAACAAGTAAGAAAATCCAAAAAAATTACCAAGGCTAAAAATGTCCCAAACAAGTGAAAAATTTAAAAAAGTACCGTGGCTCAAATTTTTCTGATTTTTCCTGTTGGCCAAGGTAAGCTCTAACTTTATTGTCCAAAATAAGCTGAATGGACCTTTTTTTATTTTTCAAGGGTTCATAACTTGCTTTACAGATCTCCTGGGCAGCTTTTGAGACCAGATTTCGAATCAACAGACTAACCTAGAAGAAGTAAATAAAGAGAGCTTTTGAAAGTTCATAATTTGCTTCTCAGACCTCTTCGGCAACTTTTGGAACTAGATTCAGAATCACCTTAAAAAAATGAATCTACATAACTCGATCTGATTCGGAAGTTGGCCTTGTGCAATCTTCAGTTATTCAGTATTCAGTATTTTAGTATAGTATATCCAGTATTTAGGATCTTCAGTATTTCCAAAGACCTCCAGAAGATTCTATACATCGAACATCCTTCAAAAACTCGAAATTCTGATCATACTGAAAAATTTACCTCGTCTGATCATAGGCGTTCGGCGTCGGCTGCTGTATCACCGGCTGGTCGAAGAACACCGGCTGGGGTAATGACGCGACTGAAATTTTTATCATTAGATCATATCAAAGCAACCAACTTGAGCTTCAAAAGTACAAAGATAATATTTTCCTGCCTCAAATACATACGGCAAGCTTCAGGAAACTAACTGAAAGCAAAAAAAGTTTACTGAGCACAACTGAAGCTAAAAATCAAGCCAAAAGCGCTGAAATATCCGAAAAATCATCCAAGCTCATTTTCCTTAAGTTCAAGCCGCATATTCTTACTTCAAGTATCATTAGATGAACTTAGCGTTGGAAAAAAAAACTCAGAAAGCATTAAAAAAAAATAAAAATCCTAAGTATCATCACTAAACTTTCTTCTAAACCTAAAAAGACCCAGACTTTTCGGAAACATCTCAAAATCTACCAACTGGCCTATTTTCTCAAATTTCGAGCCTCAGAGTCTAACTTCAAGATTCACTGGATGAACTAAGCTTTGAGGAAATCTCAGAAAGCATAAAAAAATTCTAAGTGTCATCACTAAACTTTCTTCAAAACCTAAAAAGACCCCAACTCTTCGGGAAAGTCTCAAAACTCATCAGCCGGCTTATTTTCTTCAGGTTGAAGCCTTAAGTGTCTACTACAAGTCTCATCAGATGAACTGAGCTTTGTAAGACCTCATACGGGACGAAAAACTGTACTCGAAAAATAAAATTTTCGAAACTTCTCTCTGAACCTTGGGAAATCCTCAACTCTTCGTGAAAACCTCTAAAATCTACTTCAAGTGTCATTGGATGAACTAAACTTTGAGAAAAACTCAGTGATCACAAAAAACTGAACTCGAAAAATATCATAACTAAAGCTTTCCTCCAAACATTGGAAAAGCACTAGCTCTCCAAGAAAACCATTCAAAAAAACCCACCAGCTGGCTTAATTTATTCAAGTTTTATTGGATAAACTGAACTTTGTGAAAAGCCGAATTTCGTGAGCATCATTACTAAAGCTTTCCTCAATACTCAGAACAAGTCCTAACTCTTCAAGATCCTCTTAAAACCCATCAACTGACCCAAAAAGTCCCAACTCTCGAAGAAACCCCCAAAAAACCCACCAGCTGGCTCGATTTCTTCAAGTTTTATTGGATAAACAAACATTGTGAAAAACTAAAATTCGTAAGTATCATTACTTAAGGTTCCCTCCATACTCTGAACAAGTCCTAACTCTTCAAAAATACTCTTAAAAACTCATCTACTGACCCAAAAAGTCTCAACTCTCCAAGAAACCTCAAAAACCCATCAGCTGGCTCAGCTTATTCAAGTTTTATTGGATAAACTAACTTTGTGAAAAACTAAAATTCGTAAGTATCATTACTAAAGCTTCCCTCCATGCTCAGAACAAGTCCTAGCTCTTCAAAATACTCTTTTAAAACTCATCTACTGACCCAAAAAGTCCCAACTCTCCAAGAAAACCTTCAAAAAACCCATCAGCCGGCTCAATTTCTTCAAGTTTTATTGGATAAACTTACTTTATGAAAAACTAAAATTCGTGAGTATCATCACTAAAGCTTCCCTCCATACTCTGAACAAGTCCTGAATCTCCAAAATAATCCTGAAACTCATCTACTAGCTCAAAAAGTCCCAACTCTCCAAGAAATCCTCAAAAAACCCACCAGCTGGCTTAATTTCTTCAAGTTTTATTGGATGAACTAAACTTTGTGAGAAACTAAAATTCGTAAGTATCATTACTAAAGCTTCCCTCCATGCACAGAACAAGTCCTAGATCTTTAAAATACTCTTAAAACCTACCTACTGACCCAAAAAGTCCCAACTCTCCAAGAAAACCATTCAAAAAAACCCACCAGCTGGCTTATTGTTCTCGGCCCACTGCTCCGGGTAGGTGACGGCGGTGTCGCTGAGCATGGCGAACGTCGAACTGAACAGCTCCGACGTTCCAGTGACCGAAGTCGAGGGCGGCGCCGCGTGCCACGCGTAGTGCTCCATCGGCTGCCCGGACATTGTCTG